GCTTTCTTGGCAGCCAGGGCACACTGCTGGCTCATGGTTAACCTGTCGTCCCCCAGCACACCCAGGTCCCTCTCCGCAGAGCTGCACTTCAGCAGGTCCACCCCAAGCCTGTACTGGTGCCTTGAACTTGAGGAGCGCTTCTGGGAAAGCCCTCTCCGTCTTGATTAAAAACTTTCCTGTAAGGGGAAATCCCTGCCCGCTGCCGCTGGTAAATGGTTCCCCTGGCTATTCCCCTCGCTGCGAAATCCGAGGCATTTGTACCCGCACCGGGAGCCTGGGGTTGGGGCCAAGGGGACAAGAGCATCCCCTGGGAGGGGGGCACCAGGGTGGCTGCGCCGGCTCCCGGGCTGGGGCTGCTGCTCCGTCACCCGTCGGGGTGGCCGTAGGAGGGACCCTGCTAAGAGGATAACCTGGGGTTGTCCCGCGTCTGCCAGCGATGCTGCGGAAACCAGGACGGCCCAGCAGGTGCTGAAACACACTGCTCTGCACCACACGGAAATGTCATTTGGTTTTTTTCCCTCTTGCTTTTCCTTTTTGAATCCTATTTCCTGTTCACCTGTCAGCAGGACCCGCAGCCTCTCCCTAACCGCACGCCGGCCGCGGACTTTCCTTGGAGCCTTTTCAGTCCCTCCAGCTCCAATTTTCCATCCCAGGGCTTTTTGCTTTTTTGCCTTTCCCTTTTCCTTCTCCATTAGCGCAACAAACGCGTGCTTTGAGAGCCAGACGGGCGGCACACGTACGCGGAAAGGCAAACTGTTTGTGGAAGGAACCGGCGTTTCCCTGGGGCTGAGGTCGTGCTTTTCTCCGCCGCGCTGGGAGGGCTGATGGACGGCGGGTGCGGGGAGCCGTCGCCCGTGGGCTGTGGATGCGGGTGCTCTCCCGGGCAGGGTAATTCGGGTGGGACCGAACACCGCGATGTCTTTCCTTCCCAGGGTGGCCCTGCCCGCGATGCTCAGGAGCATCTCTAAATGGAAGGAGCTTGAGGACACGCTCTTGGGGTGCTTGGCCTCACTGGTGTTTGGGGAGCTTGCTAGGAGCCTCTTCCAAGGAGAAGCAGCAGATGAGGCTTTCAGGCCACCTGAAGTAGCCCCATGTTTCCAAGTTCTGCTCATGATGGGGGACATCAGCCACCCCGACGCCTGTTGGAAGGACACAGCAGCAGGGCCCAGGCCACCCAGGAGGTCTCTGGAGGGCACCCGTGACGTTGCTCTGACACAGGCAAGCAAGGGGAGATGCTCTGCTCCACCTCGTGCTTGCAACCCAGTAAGGACTGGTGGGGGACATTAAGGTCAGGGGCGGCGTTGGATGCCTGAGGAGCTCCTGACACAACTCAGATGTTAAAAGGAACTGTACAAGAGGTGGAAGCAGGGGCCCCCCGAGAAGCGTAAGGACACTGCGTGGACACCTGGGGATAGGGTCTGGGAGGTCAAAGCTCACCTGGTGTTGGGTGTGGTGAGGGATGTGGACATGCACAAGCCCATGGGGCCTGATGGGCTGCACCCATGGGTGCTCTGGGAGCCACTGCAAGGCCACTGTTTGTGATCTCGGAAAGGGCATGGTGATCGGGGAGGCTTCTGAGGACAAAGAGACCCAAAGTCACTCCTCGCCTGAAGAAGGAGGCTCTGGGGAGCTGCAGGCCACTCAGCCTCACCTCCACACCTGCGATGGTGGTGGAGCAACTAATCCTGGACATCATTTCCAGGCACCTGAGGGACAGGGAGGTGATGGGGAGCGGTCAGCGTGGCTTCACAAAGGGAACGCGTGCCCGTCCAAGCCTTCTGCGGCACGGTGACTGGCCCAGTGGGCGCCGGCGCTCTATCTTGACTTCAGTGAGGCTTTTGGCACCGTCTCCCCCAACACCCTCATTGACAAGCTGATGAAGTGCGGGCCGGATAAGCTGATGCTGAAGCGGGCTGAAAACTGGCTGACTGCCCGGGCTCAGAGCGCTGGGTTCACCGACACAAAGTCCACCCAGAGACTGGTCACCAGTGGTGAACCCCGGGGGTCAATAATGGGGCCAACTACTCTTTAACCTCGTCATTAATGACGTGGATCCTGGGACGCGGTCAGCACCTCTGCAGCTGACACAAAGCTGGGATGAGCAGCCGATGCACCAGGGGGTCGTGCTGCCCTTCAGAAGGGCCTGGACGGGCTGGAGAAAGGGGCTGAGACGAACCTCACGAAGTTCAGCAAGGGGCCAAGACCTGCTGCTGGGCAGGGATCACCCCATGCACCAGCACACACTGGGGGATGACTGGGTGGAAAGCAGTGGACCTGGGAGTCCGGGTGGACGCCAAGCTGCCCACGAGCCAGCAAGCCACCCGTACAGCCAAGGTGGCCACCAGCATCTTGGGCTGCATTAAGAAGACCATCTCCAGCAGGTTGAGAGGGTGATCCTGCCCCTCTCAGCACTGGTGAGGCACATCTGGTGTGCTGGGCCAGCGCTGGGCTCCCAGTACCGGAGGGACAGGGACGTAACCAGTGCAGCAAATGGCCAAGCTGAAGATTTAGAGCTTGGACTGGTTGAGCAGAGCCTGCGGGAGCTGGGCTTGGTCAGCCTGGAGAAGTGGAGGCTCAGGGGGATCTTACTGATGTGTCTGATGGGGGGGGATAAAAAAGAGCTACAAAGGGC